CGCAGGGTTAATTTTTTTGAGCGCCGTTAACGCTGTGGACAATCTAACTACTATTGTCTGCAGCAGCCAGCAGAGGAGCCCGGGCACCCAGTGTGGCCGGGCCTTGGCTCCGCCCCTGCTAGTACTCTACCTTTTTTGTTCAAAACGAGGTAGACAATTATATGCAGACAGGCAAGCGATGAGCACTTCACTTACTATTAAAATAATAACACTGTTAAATCCTACTATAAATTTAGAAAAATACAAGTAACTGCAAGTCAAGGACTCCAACGTAGGTGAAATCTGCTTGTTGTTTCACTATTCTTTTTATACACAAACACAAACAAAAATAACACACACTACTTTTAAACATACAGGTAAACAGGCAGGACCTACCGTTTATATTACATAGGGGAAATTAGCCTTAGTCCAAAAGTTATATAAAACAACAAAGGAGAACAAGATAAAAACAATCCTGTACATTTAAAACAGAACACGCGGCAAAAACAGAGTGAAGGAAAACTTCCTTCAGCATCTTGGCAATGGCAACGCACCAGCGTGCTTCCTCCAGTCCTCCTTGATCTTCGCCACCAGGGTGGCCATAGACGAGCGTGATCTCTCAAAGACTAGCATTTTGGCACTTCGGCAGAAGATAGGTACACAGGCTAAAGAGATTGCACACAAAATCGATTCTGCAATGGCGCGAAGATCTGCATTGAAGAGAACTGAATTTGAACCTCGGGGTTTCACTTTAAATGGAAGGCGTGAGAGGCCTTAAATTGGCTTCACAGGTCACAGCTCCGGCCACCAAAAGGCTGAGCTTCTTCAGTTCTGGGCTCATGAGCTCCCCATGCCTGAGCCTGACAGTGTGAGGCACCTGCGGTAGCAGTGCGCAGCGGCAGTGCCTGTCGTCTTCGGAAGCCCTGTGCCCCTCCCTGTTCGGCTTTTCCTGAGCTGCGGTGGCGGTGCAGGGCTGCAGCCCGTCCCTGCAGCATCGCCAGGGAACCCTGCCTCCTCGTTATGCTTCCCGGCTTCCCGCAGTTCACAGGTTTGCCCTACCCTGCCATCATATCCATTTACTCTAGTACTGTGGCTACTGATGGCCAAACAAATGGGGGGATCCATTGCCACCAGGACGCGCACAAGCTAGTTCAAACTCGTAGTGCACAAAAGGAAATGGAGAGAGGTGTTCTTCATACATTAAACTAATCAATTTATTTGGCAACTGGAGACACTTACACCGATGGTACAACGCCTTATTCGTCCTCTCCATCTTCACACATCAGATCGATCGATCTCTAGACAGGGCATCGACATGCATGTCTGGTTTGGTGTGAGAGAAAAATACTGCTGGTTGGGACTGAAACGATCATATACGATCGTGGATTATTACTGCTGGCTGGTTTGGTGTAAAAGAGAAATACTGTTCTGATTGAAAATTTACGATCGTTTACGACTAAGCGAACATAGCGGTCATGAACGAAGCAGTACGAGCAAGCCTGCAGAGTCAACTGCTCTCCTGCTTCGTCACAGGCTCACAGCTGCGTCCAGGCTCGCTACTGAGTAGCGAGAACCAGTCTCTGGGATATCACCAGCTGATAAAGATCGCCACGCCGTTGGTGTTGCAGAGGAAGAAATTGCCTAGAGAAGATTTCCGCGACCTCATTCAACCAAGGGTGAAGATATATAAGACTACAGGAAAGCATATATAATTTCACTCTGCGTACCCCTGCTCGATCAGCAAATAGTCTATTTCTGCTATTATAATTGCCTCCTCATGCTCAGTCGTTGCAATCACCTCTCCAAACTGGCAGCATGCAAATGGTTAGTTATGGCATGGCATATCTTTGCTAATGTACAGGTTTCAGATTGTTAGCATGGTAAAAATCACAAGAGGTTTTATAGGAAACAAAAGTAGTTTTGACGTGGTGCAGTGGTGGTTACTGATAGAACCAAAGGGCAGTAAATGGAAACCTCATGTCAACATACAGGCACAACAAGAGTGCAGTGTCCCCAAGCAACATAACCTGCACTGGTATGTCGAGCTGGGCCGCATGTTGCAATAAACAGCTGGCACCAAATAGTTGATTAACATTCTAAAGCATAAAACTGGCAAAACGAATGCCAAATGAAAGTTGAAGTCCAGGAAAATGAAACACCAGCGCACAAAGAAGTGCAGCATACCTGGTTGTCTGCAGCCCTGTCATTGGAGAAATGATGTCATCAGCACAGGACAAACAAAAGTAGTGGAGATATTTCAGATATGAAATTATCCCTAAGAATTATGATGAGTTATGATCGAGGTTTTGACTAGTTTTGAACTTTTTTTTAGATCAGCATACAAAAAAGCAGCGAGCGTTTCAGCTCGCTATGTTTCCCTTGCATAATTACCATAACTCGAGGTGCATTCAACATGACTACTGGACCACTGCATTGGGAATTGCTGCAAAGAGCGAGTTAATGAATGACAGGATATCACAAAAAAATAAGCACCTGCAGTGAGTGAAATGAGCTTAGTCTGTTTAGTCAGTTTCAATACTTTTCAAATTATCAGAAAATAGTAGTAGTAAGCTGTAAGCATGTGTTCAGAATTGTTAATATAACTGAAAATCTGAAAATTTTAATCAAACATAGAAGAATCTGAGACTAAGTGTCTATCCATTTTACATGTGGAGTAGGTTAGAAGATGACATGGTCCAAATACGGCACATGCCACAGTGTCTTTAATAATTATAATCGTTTACTTCATGAAGTTACAGCTTAATAAAGACGACTACAATAGAAAAACACACATGAGGAAGTCATATCTCTTGCAGCATACAACATTGCTAATTCCTGGAAACAGATGCCATAGCATATACCAATACCAATTCGTCCAACATTTGAAAAAAGGAATCAATAATGCCATTAGAATATAAGAAAGACTTAAGCAACACAAACAAAAGGCATTGTAAAACTAAGTAACACTAACATAGCATATAGAAAGGTATAACTTGAATGGAACTATCCCAATCATCAAACTCACATTGTAGAACCCAATTCAAATCACCTAAACTCAAAATTAGAACGCGTGCACAAAACTTGCTTTACTACTTGGTGACTGGTGTAAAACTCTCCTTTACTTATTTCTTGACTAAGGCTACAAAAATATTCAGTGGAGGGCTTAGAAATTGTACAAATGTTGGAAACCACACAAAATAGAGATACATGCTGACATAGAATCCTACAAACCAAAGAAACCAGACGTGTAAGTGTAAAAAAAATAACACAACTGATGAAAGCATAACCCCCATAATATAAGGCTAGGTAAGGTCAAACTCCTTGAAACATTAAGAGCACTTCTGTATTAATTTAGTGGCTCAACTTCTTATCTGTGTACTTTGACCTAAGAATGGCGTCCACAATGCACAGGACACACTGTCTTGTTTTCTCTAAATACAAAAGGATACTAGAAAAATTGCCTGTGTGTCACCACGACACCACAAATCAAAGTATTGTACAGGTGTACACTATTCCAATTCTATATTTCTTTTTTTTCACCAGAATATTAACGTCCAAGGAAGACAGTCAGACACTGATTCAAGACCACGTGTTTGTGTTTCACGAATTTCCTGCAACACCTGTCGTCAATAACATAAAGGACTAGGGCCTGAATACCAAATTAAGAAGCTGCAGCACAAGGAACTATAACTATTAGGCACCGTTTGAAACCTTTCTAGATTTAACATAGATTCCCACAAAAACTAGATTCTGCAAAGCAGTGCAGCACAAAAAATCACGTCGCCTTAAATCATTCAATTGCAGTTAATTATAGGATACATGCCATCTAAGAACAAAGCAACATTACACACACATATCTCTAATGCGCAAGATCTACTCTGCAATTTTGATAGGGCATTGGGTATTTGGGTTATAACGATAGGATTTAGCTCAAGGACTTATCAACAGCAAGACCACCATTTTGTATAAGTATGTTATTCCATAAACTCCAAACTTTTAGTTCTTTCATCAGATGAGCGATGCTCCTAAGTCCCAACGCTCAAGATGTATGCAACCATCGATGAGCTAATGGGTTTTGTCGTTAAAATCTGACAAAAAGTTGATCTAAAGTTTGAATTTCTTTAGAAGCAAACTCAACTCTGGGAACGGTTTTACCATACTACTAACTCTTCTTCATACATACATGCCCTGCTCCAAAAAGGAAAACCGTGCGGTCTGTGCCTGCCTCTAACATGCAAAGTTGCTTGATGGATTCAATACCCAACATATTCTAAACTCTTGTATCCACTGTTTGAACAACAGTAGCAAATTCTCATTCTACTTGGCACATGCACATTTGAGCCAAGCCAAACGTACAATCCATGCATTACTATTATGTCACACCAAAATGCAGCACTATATATGTCGACTAGGACAATTAACATTTGTTAACATCAATCCACAGAATTGCATACGGATGCCACTGGTAACATTACTCCACAGCGTGACTAGGACCTAAGTTAAGACGGACGATGGGCGATTGAGTGCGAAACGAAATTTTACACCAACATTGGCAGGGAATAGTAAAGCTAACCCTTCACAAGGTCCACGGGCGTGGGCGCGGCAGCAGCTTCACGGAGGCGGACGAGCGGTACGGCCGAGGCGCCGAGGAGCACCACCCGCCGCGCCAGCACGTAGGCACCGGCGGCCACCGCCGCGGCCAACGAGGGAGAAGGGCCGCCATCGAGCGGCGAGGCCGTATTGGAATGCGAGCGGCGGGGAAGGCGACGGCGAGAAGAGGAGGTAGCCCATCCCGCTCGGGAGCCCACAATACCGTTCGAGAGCCCACGGCCCACAAGCCCATGTACAGTCTCGACTCCTCCAGATATTTCGGCCCCGAAGCAACTAAACTAGCCTCACTCGCCGCAATAAGACACCTCACCAGTTGCGGCTTAAACCCTTATCGCCACCGCCGCGTCCTCTTCCCTCATCTGCGCGGCCCGTCTCGTCTCCCACTAGGGTTTGGCACTTTGGCCGCCGCCATGGCGTCGGCGTCGCGCGCGCTCCTCCTCTCCCGTGCGCTCCAGGCCGGCGGCGGCGCGTCCCGTCGCGTCCCCACCCTCCTGCGCCCGCTCGCTGCGGCCGCGAGCCTCCTCCCGGCGGGGGCGGGGGCGGCGGCGGCGGCGGCCCCCGGCGCGGGGGTGCGGTGCTTCGCGACCCAGCCGGCTACGTCCTCGCTGCGGGACTCGTCCCCGAACTGGAGCAACCGCCCGCCCAAGGAGACGATCCTCCTCGACGGGTGCGACTTCGAGCACTGGCTCGTCGTCATGGAGCCGCCGCCTGGTGACGCCTCCAACCCCGACATCACGCGCGACGAGATCATCGATAGCTATATCAAGACCCTCGCCCAAGTCGTCGGGAGGTATATATGGCTGTTTCCATTTCTCTGTTTAGTTGTTGGCGTTTTCCTGCTAGAATAGATAAAAGTGCTCTGGTGTAGCATGAAGGTAAGAGTGTAATGTGTTTTATTTTATTTAGTGGAATTAGGGCTGGTTGGATCTCTTCCTGCTTGATGAGATGAATATGTAAGATCAGATGGATATGTGGATATTACAACGAATAGGAGAAATGGAAGTTTGGGTTTTAGAAGGATTTGGTTATGTGGATATTACAACGAATAGGAGAAATGGAAGTCTGGGTTTTAGAAAGATTTGGTTATGTGGATATTACAACGAATAGGAGAAATGTAATTTTCGGTAGAAGGATTTGGTTATGTTGATATTACAATGAATACGAGAAATGGAAGTTTGGGTTTTAGAAGGATTTGGTGTTGCTCATATTTTACAAGAGATAGTTATAAATCTGATCATGTTATAGCTCTCTAAGAAATACTTAATGCTACAGTCTGGGGAAAAAATGTTGCATAAAGAGCACTACGATCTTTGGCTCTACAACCGAACCATTTCCTTGTATCTAAGAACTTACAGGTTAATAGGGAGGATGCTTGATGCGGGCTTTATTGGGTTCATGTTGAATGTAGTTTTTTTTTTAAATGATTTTGTTTTTGGTGACTGTACAAATTATGAGAGCCTGTTAGTTCATTCTCTGCCTGGTGTGAGCTTGGGTAACGGTTTGCCTGGATCCATTAGTTTTAATTGTTACTACCTCCGTTTGCCTGGTTTGAGCTTGGGTAACAGTTTGCTTGGATCCATTAGTTCTAAATTGTTACTAGAAGCTAAAGTCAGCACTAGTTGATCTAAACACCTTAGCGAATAGTCCAACTAATAGCTCAAAATAAACTACTTAGCTTAGCTGATAATGAGTTATTAATTGGCTTCCCTAACCTGATCACTACTCCCTCCATTCCAAATTATAAGACGTTTTGGCTTTTCTAGATACATTGATTTAACTATGTACTAGGCATAGTGTATGTCTCTGTCCATAGCAAAATCTATGTATCTAGAAAAGCCAAAATGTCTTATATTATGGGGTGGAGGGAGTACTAACTATTAGATGGAGGATCCAAAGAGGGCCCAACTAATAGGTTAACTAATAGCCCTGCTATTAAAAAGCTATTAGCTGGCTTCCCTCTGCTAGATGCTAATTATTGGCACCAATGGATCCAAAAGGGGCCTACTGATCTGCTGCTGTAATCTTTCTGATTTGTTCTTTAAATTGGTCCAGTTATGGTTCTTTTGTGCGTCTAGGACATTAGAGTTTAGAGTGTTAATATCTGTGCAATTTTCAGTTCAGAGAATGAAGTTCTTTTTGCCCATTTTATCTCTGCAAGGCCTGCATCTAAAACAAATTCCTTGTTTCAGTGAGGAAGAAGCTAGGCAAAAGATATATTCGGTGTCGACTCGTCATTACTTTGCCTTTGGTGCCCTTGTATCTGAGGAACTTTCTTACAAACTGAAAGGTATTTATGATCTCATTAAGTAATATAGGAGTAGGAAGTAAATCATTGTTGAATACCATAAAATGTGTCCTTGGAATCTTATGCCTCTTAATCATTTGCAGAAATGCCCAAGGTCCGTTGGGTTCTTCCTGATTCATACTTGGATGTAAAAAATAAGGACTATGGAGGTACTGATAACATGTTTTCTATCCAAGTATAGACTCTAGACTATTTGCATTTTCTTGGTCATGTACAAAAATCCTCCTCATTATACTCGAATTCCCTTTTTCACATTCTCTTTGTTGTTTGTTGACACTGTTATGTCTTTCTTGCTTGTACACAATATATTAAACTTGAGTAATTTAAATCTTCATTATTTTGTATGGGATGTGAATGTCTTCTCAATATTTGCTAGTGTCCAAAAACTGTTCTATGAAATTTTGCTCCTCACTACTTAATTGACTCGCCTGTTTTTCTGCCATCTAATTTTCTTATCTATAGGCTTGTGATGCAAGGGTATCAGTGTCCTTGGGTAAAGTATAATGAGGTGTTTGGTTTGCATCTCGTATGTGTTCCTTGTGTCTTGGAAAACATCAATACAGATTTAAGAACCTATATCTTGGGGTAGCAGTTCACCACACATTACACCCTCTGTTTCGATCAATTATGCATGTGTGCCATTCGAAGCTGTTTTAGATTTTTTTATTGATGTTTTTAATTGAAGTTTTCTGCAGCTATAGTTTATGTCCATCCATGTTTGGGCAACTGATTCTACAAGTATATAATATTAATATGGACTGATTATTCCACAAGCTTATGATACCTTCTACTTCCTGTTTCAGGAGAACCCTTCGTAAATGGGGAAGCTGTTCCTTATGATCCTAAATACCATGAGGAGTGGGTGAGAAACAATGCCCGTGCCAATGAAAGATCCCGGCGCAATGATAGGCCCCGCAACTTCGACAGGTCAAGGAACTTTGAGAGGAGAAGGGAGAACATGCAGAACTACCAGAACAGAGATGGGCCTCCTGCGCAGGGTTTCAATGGCCCCCCACCTCCACCTGGCCAGAACCAGATGCCTCCTCACCATGGTCAGGGCAACATGCCGCCGCCACCGCCGCCACATGCTGGTGGTGGCCAACCAAACTATCAGAACCAAATGCCAAACCCACAGGCGGGCTACAACACTGGCGGTGCTCCTCACTACCAGCAAGGTGGTGCTCCTGGCTACCAAGGTGGACCTCCGGGGTATCAAGGTGGTAACCAAGGTTACCAAGGGAACCCAGGCCCGGCCTACCAAGGTGGTAACCCTGGCTACCAAGGTGGCCCACCTGGTTACCCTGGTGGCAACCCACCACTTCCACCTCCCTACCACGGAGGCAACCCCAACACACCGCCATATGCGGGTGGTGGCAATCCTGGCTACCCTGGTGGCAGCACTGGCTACCAAGGTCAAGGAGGCAACTCGAACTACCAATGAACATGAACATGACCACGAGTATAAGTAGGCACCCCTGTTCCAGAGTGAGATGGTGTGCAGTAGCATAAATCGAACCCTTGTTGCTATCTGAATTTCATTGTCGCTGTATGCACCTAATTATTATGTTCTATATAGTACTCCAAACTGTGATTGGTGTGAGTGATGTACCTGGAATTCTGAAACCATGGACGATGTGCCATCAGCTCTTGTATGCGCTTGCCGAACCAGATACTCAGCAGTTGTCATAGTAAGCTTTGTCTATCTTCGTTCGTTTCGAATGGTTGGTTAACCACAAACTTGTTACATGTTCATTTTGAATGGTTGGTTAACCTACATTGAACAGGCCGCACGTTCATACCATGCTCGTATACTTGAGACACAGAAACTCATCAACGACAGTGCTTCCACGAACAGGAACTCACCAACGACAGTAATGAGAGTATGGGACACAGGAACTCATCAACGACAGTGCTTCCACGAACAGGAACTCACCAACGACAGTAATGAGAGTAGGTCCTGCATCTTTCAAAAACCGAAAATACACGAGGACGTGATGCACGAATGCATGCATGCAGCACCTCTATCATCTCCGTCCCCTGACCAAAACCACTTCTTCAGAAACCGTTCAAAGCTTCATCTGCTGCCACATTGGCGTAATCACTGCTTGGCACATGAGAGGTTGAGAATAAATCCGCATCAAAAGGGAAAAAAAATTGGGTGCGGCCCAACCTCACGTGGACACCGTGCGGGATGTGACACCGACAGCATAGTCCCTCTTCACTTCTCTTATAATCCATCTTTTTCAGCTTTTTTTTTTTCAGCCGAAACAATATTTTTCTCTTACAACAAATCAGCCGGAACAGTGTTTCGGCTTATTTTTTTAGTGAAGCGAATGGGGCCATAGCCTCCCCATGCGAAATCTTCGGATCTCCAAGGTACGTGCATCTGGGATGCTGATCCACGCGTCCAGAATCAACAGCAAGTCCGCACGGTGTCCGCCACAATAAGTAGAGTACCCAATAATACCAGTTTTAGTGGAAGTTTTATCTGCTGCCACATATAGGTTTTTAAGAAGAGAGAAAAATAGAGTTTTATAAGATGAAACTCTCTTAGCCTAGTTTCCAACTCTAGTGAGTCATAAAATTAAATGTCTACGAAACAAAAAAATGAAATTATGCATCGAAGGTGGGTGTTTCATCCATATTTCATTTCATTCTATGTGATGTGACAGTTTTGAAAACAATGTCATGAAACTCTCTATTAAGAATGGTCTAATACACACTAAATACAACATGATGTCATGAATAATGATAGTCGCTAGCTCTCTCCGATTTCATTAGCAATGCAAGTGAATTTTGGATGCATTTTGTCAGCTAAGATTCTCCGGTTCCGTTTGTTTAGTGTCGGGCCGTAATGATTTAACTTGCAGGGGGCTATGACAATCCAACATTTTCTTGTTTGTTGCGCTTTAACGTGCTCTGGCGTTAACTTTTCGTGTGAGTTGGTGTTACCCAAATACTCCCTCCATCACTGAATCAATCAATTTCTAGAGTTATTAATGAATATCTAAACACCAAGGTTACACAAATCACTTAACACCATCTTGGCGTAATGGCTCGGGGGCTATGCGCTCTTACACACACATATTTCTAATGTGCAGGATCTACTCTGCAATTTTGATAAGGTATTGGGTACTTGGGTTACAACGATAGGATTTAGCTCGAGAACTTATGAACAGCAAGCCCACCACTTTGTATAAGTATTTTATTTCATAATATAACTCTAAAATGTTATAGTGTGTGTAGTTTGAGGAATCACTCCATCTTAAATGAGGTGGTGCATCATAATATAAGTCTATTTCTCAAATTTGGTGGAATGACTCCATTGGGCCCGTTCGCTGGTCTGAACTTTGGCTGAAACTGGCTGAAAAACACTGTTTCGGCTGAATTGTTGTGAGAGAAAAACACTGTTCTGGCTGAAAAAATAAACCGAACAAGCCAAATTTAAGACAAGCGAACGGGGCCATTGCTCGTACTAGTACTAATTATTAGCTTATGAGAAATTAGACGATGATGATACGTCAATCCATTCTATTTCATAAACCAAACACAAAAGTCTCCCAAGTCCCAATGCTCAAGATGTATGCAACCATTGAGGAGTTTATGGGTTTTGACGTGTAAAATCTGACAAAAAGTTGATTCAAAGTTTGAATTTCTTCAGAAGCAAACTCAACTCTGGGAAGAGTTTTACTATCTAATAATTCTTCTTCATACATGCATGCCCTGCTCCAAAAAGGAAAACCGTGCCTGCCTCTAACATCCGAAGTTGCATAGAGCATACTCCTAGATAGATTTTTTAATACCCAGAGTATTCTAAACTCAAATTCATCCACTCCTGGCTATTATCCTATATTATATAAGGCCACACCACAATGCAGCCTTGTATACGGCTTTCACTGGTAACATTACTCCACAGCGTAACTAGGACCCAAGTTAAGACTGACGAGGGACAATTGAGGCTACGTTATGTTAGCCAGGAATAAGTCTTGTCTGGAATGCGTCTAGGAACTATTCCAGCTTATGGCTGTTCATTTTTCTCGGAATGCACTAGGAAGAATTCCAGCTTCTCAATATTAGTACAAATTATTGAATCATTCCGGCTAGAAATTATTCCGGGGCCCTGTTCCTGACGAACGAGCCCTTATGGGAATCGTGAATGAGACCTGAGTGCGAAATGAAATTTTACACCAACACTGGCTGGTCCACGGCGTGGGCGCGGCAGCAGCTTCCGGAGGCAGACGAGCGCCGAGCGGCCGAGGAGCACCGGCCCACCGCGCCAGCACGTAGGCTGTGGGCATCGGCCGCCACCGCCGCGGACGACGACGAGGTGGGCAGGTGGCCCATCCCGCTCGGGACGGCGGGAGACGCGAAGCCCTAGAAGGCCCACGTTTACCATTCGAGAGCCCACGGCCCACAAGGCCATGTACAGCTTCGACTCCGCCAGATATTTCATCCCGAAGCAACTAACCTCCTCATTTGCGGCAATAACACACCTCACCAGTTGCGGCTAAACCCTTATTTTCGCCACCACCGCGTCCTATTCTTTCTCTCATCTCCCTCCAGGGTTTGGCACTTTGGCCTCCGCCATGGCGTCGGCGTCGCGCGCGCGGCACGCTCCTCCTCTCCCGTGCGCTCCAGGGCGGCCGTCGCATCCCCACCCTCCTGCGCCCGATCGCTGCGTCCGCGAGCATCCTCCCGGCGGGAGCGGGTGCGTCCTCCCCCGGCGCCGTGGTGCGGTGCTTCGCGACCCAGCCGGCGACGTCCTCGCTGCGGGACTCGTCCCCGAACTGGAGCAACCGCCCGCCCAAGGAGACGATCCTCCTTGAAGGTTGCGACTTTGAGCACTGGCTCGTCGTCATGGAGCCGCCACCTGGTGATGCCTCCAACCCCGACATAATGCGCGACGAGATCATCGATAGCTATATCAAGACTCTCGCCCAAGTCGTCGGAAGGTATATATGGCTGGATCCATTTCTCTGTTTAGTTGTTGGTGTGTTCCTGCTTGGATAGTTGTTGGTGTGTTTCTGCTAGGATTGATAAAAGTGTTCTGGTGTTGCATGACCGTAAGAGTGTATAGTGTTTAATTTAGTGGAATTAGGTTTGGTTGGATATCTTACTAATTGATCAGAAATTCAGAATGAATCTCTTGGTATTATTGATTCTTGCGTGCGGGCTGTATTGCACTACGAGAACCAGGAGCTTTGCCGAGTGCCAAAACACTCGACAAACACCACTCGGCGTAGGTTTTAACGGCAAAGAGCTGTTTGCCGAGTGTCAATCATCGGGCACTCGACAAAGACTTTGCCGAGTGCCACAAAAACACTCGGCGGACATTTTTTGAAAAAAATAAAAAAAACAATCACCCTGCTCCGCCAGCCGCCACCACCGCCCATGCCGCCGCCGACACCACCACAAAGCCACCACGCCGCCACGGGGAAGGAGGGGCCGCCGGGGAAGGAGGGGCTGCCGGGCGCCGGATCCCCGCCGCCACGCCGCCGGGGAAGGAGGAGGCGCCGGATCCGGCGAGGGGGCGCCGGATAAGGGGGCCAGGAGCGGAGGGGAGGGGCGGCGGTCAGATCCGGCGAGGGAGGGAGGGAGGAGGGGGCCGGGAGCGGAGGGGAGGGGCGGCGGCCGGAGGGGAAGAGGCCGGCCGGGAGAGGAGGGGAGGGAGGCGGCGCCGGCGTGAGGAGGGGAGGGTGGTAGCGCCGGCGGGAGGAGAGGGGGCGCGCTGGGGTTCGGGAGAGAGAGGGGGAATTGGGGACCGGGAGGAGAGGGGGCACTGGGGTTAAGTACGATATTTTTTTGTTTGCCGAGTGTCCCAGATCGGGGCACTCGGCAAAGTTTTTTTCATTTTTCTTCTTCTTTTTTTGTCGAGTGTTATAGATCTGAGCACTCGGTAAAGTTTTTTTCATTTTTTTCTTCTCCTTCTTTTTCGGAAAAAAGATTTTATTTATTTGTCGAGTGTTTTTTTAACACTCGGCAAACCCCCTGTTTGCCGAGTGTTTTTTTTGACACTCGGCAAACCCCCTATTTGTCGAATGTTTTTTTCGAGTGTTTTTAGCGAAGCACTCGGCAAAGAACTTGTTCGCCGAGTGTCTGAGGGAATACACTCGACAAACAAAAAAAACACTTGACAAATTTAAGGATTCCGGTAGTGTTGGGTTTATGGTGAATGTAATTTTTTAGAAATTTATTTTGTTTTTAGTGACTACAAATTATGAGAGCCCATTAGTTGTTTCTCTGTCTGCTGTGAACTTGGTAAGGGTTTGTTTGGATTCATTAGTACTAATTGTTAGTGTCGACATAGAATTTCGTCCCGTGCCGATGACACACGTAGCAAGTCGGAAGGGTCCGCTCGATGGAGCAGATCCGCCTAGCTTCAGCGCAAGGGTGATCGATCCTACGCAATCCTCCCGAGACGTGCCACTCAATTTGACCTTGCAATTGACAAGGAGAGAAAGTTTATCAGTTATTAAGGACGGAACATGCCGGTGTTGCCAGACAGTCCCGAATGTGCGGCTCTGAGAGCCGATATAAGAGGAGATCGACTAAATAGTCGATTCCAGCATATTCATAAGAATAAATCGGTTAAAGCTCATGGGGTTATGTAAGAAGAATCGGTTATTATCCAGGATAAATATAAATTCGAGCAAAATTTAATCAATGACAATAAGATATCCATGATGATCGGTTTAAACTGAGCCAATGATTACAAGTAACCGAATCTATTTTTATATAAAGAAACAATTCAACACCACTTAACCATCTAATAAAGATAAATCTAATATATATGTTAGATCTTATCTATCGCCATGACCAGTGGGGCATGAGGCAGAATCATGTAGGCCGTAGAAACAACAATAGACTCGACGACCCTAACTCATTATTAATATCAGTGGGGCATGAGGCAGAATCATATAGGTCGTAATACAATAATAAGATCATGGGGCTAACATATCTTTAAACTTATCTCTACTTCAATGGTCTCGTAATGTGAATGGTTTGTGAGAGCACTCGATATCGGCTAAACAGCCGATTCAGGCATAGCGCACAGTTAAGGTCATGCCTTCTCAGAAATGGATCTATCAACTAACGATCCCCACTCCACGGTGCTAACAGTGGGGTGAGAGGCAGAATCCCACAAGCCATGATAATGGGCTATGGAACGGTTCTCGCTAACCGATAGATCTACTCAAGATCGAACATACCTTAACCGCACGTTATGCACGATTAAGATTGATATAAAACAGCCAATAAAGATATAACTCATCATTTAAGATGTAGATTAGATCAGTTTTAGATTGACAAACGATGGATTAAATAAGATATAAGGCCGATCCAGATCAATCTCAATCGGGCAAAGTGATATTGCTGTAATTAGATAAACAATAAAAGCAATAAGCAATATCGGTAACTTAATGAATCAACCAGAGACTGCCATTCAAAGATAGAGCCGATAACTTGACCTTGATCTAGTTCAAGCAGTGGGGTGAGAGGCAGAATCACACAGGCCATACTTGAACTAGGCAAGAATCGATAACTAGCCTATACTAGAGTCACAATGGGGGTCGACCGAATCGATGCAGCCATACGAATAGAGGTATAAACCATGACAGTACTTACAGACAAGCAGTGGAGGTCGACCGGATCGATGCAGCCATACTTGCTGAAGAACTCGCCGAGATCTACTCTACTCCTACTCCTAAGGGGTGGCTGGAGCCGAAAAAAGTAAATTGACTTGTATTTGATTGATTGTGTGTTTTTACAATAGCCGGGGCTTGATATTTATATCCGAGATCTAAACATGAATCCTACTTGATCACGACTTGCTACAAATTTAGGTACGAGGGGGAACATTCCTAATTTAAGATAACTTAGACTCTATTTTTGCCCTTTTTTGTAGAGCCCGATATGTAATTTCCCCGGCGTCAACCGTAGTTTATCATTGCTATCTGCTGACGTCACTCTAAGATATCCGATTCTAGAGTTGTATTTGAATCGGCTGACATCGATCTTTCTCGACTGGCACAACCTTGAAAGCCTGTGAGTTCCCACGTTTCTTCTCCCAAATTTTGGTGTAAACACATGCCCCTAATTTTTTGGGTAAAATGGTTTTATCCCAAAATTCTGACTCATCGGTTTACTGCGCCGTAACCGTCCTTATCCGAGAAATACGCATAACTCCTGACTTTTCGGTCTGAGCCTCATATAGCATCAATAGTATCTCTTTTGACGCACTCGGCCTTTCTGTTTTCCCCTCTTTTCTGGAGCCAACTCCAACAGTCGACGCCGCCGTTACCAGGGACCCAAACCCTAGCAAATCCGCTGTTCCGTCGAACCGTCATTCGAGCTATCTTTGTTAGATCTAAAGTTGCTCCGGCCATGATGGCCACCAATGATCATGTTCCAGAGGTATGTTTCCAGTTCCCGTTCTCTAGATGTCGGCCATTACCCCGTATTTCTGCTCCTCTTGAATTTAGTTCATCCGATTTCTAGGAAATGAAGAACGAGATCTTGATTCCATCAGCTGTTGTCCCCAATGCTTACTTCCTTGGGCCGATGGAAGACCTTGATCCATCTGATTTGATATGCTAAGAAACTCACCAGATCCCCTTTAAAAGGTCCGTAGTGGACTTATCTTCTTGGAACAAAACTCCCTTCAGAAACTGGCCTAAAGCGCCTAAGGGATGGAGAGACTGGTTCTATAGGGTATCTGTGAAAAAGGGTGGAGATTGGGAGCTTTATGATCTGAACCAGTGTCTGACACTTTCGTTGTCCGAAATGGAGAGGAACGATTCACTCTTGATTTTTGCTTCTTATTTTTGGTCCAATGCTCTAAATGCTTTCATTTTTTGTCATGGCCCGATGACCATTACCCTGGCCGATGTATACATGTTGACCGGCCTTAGAACTACTGGATCAATGCAACCTTATGAGTACTTGAGTGCCGGTTCCAAAAGACTGGCCAAGATAGCAGACTGTACCGGATGGGCGAGTTACATTCCGAATCATGTTGAGGATGGATCATCTGTTAGTGAACAATAATATGTGGCCTTTCTGAATATGTGGTTGGAGAAATTTATCTTTTGTGGGTCGTCTTGTGGCCCGACTTATAATCACAAACTTATGGCAGAACACCTGGTATTAGGTAAGGATATCCCTCTTGGAAAATATCTACTAGGAACTGCTTATCATCTGATGTAGTAGGTGGCTGCTCAACTGCTGAAGAATGAACCAATATAGACCATCAGCGGCCCCTGGTGGCTGATACAATTGTGGCTCAATCTGTACATGCATAAGTCGATAAGGTCTGATCTCAGAGATCTGAGTTTTCCCTCCTCCAATTTTGATGAGGAATACAGAGGCGAAGAAGGAAGAACCTGACAGTGTATGAATTATGGTGAGGCTACATCGGCCATAACCATTGACTTTGATGTTGGTCACTTCTTCAAAAAGCTTTACAGAGGGTTTGATGCAGCCGTCCTGACTTGGCTACCTTACAAGAAGGAGGATGAACTGATCTTTTCATTCAAGTTCCGATTTGAGTCCAGCTGCTCAGACGAGATAGCGGCCGTGATCTTCAATACCTTTATCAAGCCCTGTGTTCTTTCGGCCGAATTTCGTCATGGTCGTGGCAAAATGGTCAAGGGCTCCTCCACCCCGGGAAATCCTCCAACCTCCGAGTTCTACAACCCTTCTTTTGTGGCCCATCAGTTCAGCCTCAGCCAACTCCCCCCCCTCCGCCTGTTCTTTGAGAACATCTTGAAGCTGAGAGAAGATGTCAGTGACGTGTTGGAAGCTTCTAGAATCTTTTAACTAGGGTTAGACCTTTCTTCTTTTTCCTTGCATGACTGGGTCATAGCCAGTTTCTCTTCCAGCCTCTTCGACACCTGGTGGCAAGAATGATGCTCCCATCTTTTCTGTGGGCCAGTCCACCCTCTGTGTGTAGCTC